ATATCAGCAATGCTAATTTTCTCTGCTGCCAGTACTGTGGTGGGAGATGCTCAATTCAGCAAATTTATGTGTCCACTTAGAGTCTCTGAGCTAGATTTGGAAAGACCTAGGAAGAACAATACCCTGTGAAGAACATCAGGAGGACAGAGTTAAACTCGTGTGAAGCATCTTTGCTTGAATAATTTGCTGAGATACACTCTTAAGGAACATACATGAAGAATGGTCCTTTGTGTGAGGGATGCCAGGACCCGTGGAACATACAGTAATCACTTTTAAGAGATGAAATAAAAATTGACGGAAAAATATGTCAATGAGTGTGCTCAGACATTTCTACATATATTTTTATTTCTTGTTAGCATGTGGCTTTCACACAAAGTATAATGGAGCCCCAGTCAAAATTAAGAGGCAATTGTATGGGAAAAAAAGAGGAATTTTATTATTTCCTAATTTTGAGAAAAATCATAAAACATGACACCAAATACACACCAACAAACTCTGCATAAGATTTAATAATGGAGAGTGTGCCTGGTACAGAAGGAAGAAAATAGGCTGGGCAATTTACAATTCCTTGAGGTGTTAGATTTTTGACCTGAGACCACAGTTTTTTAATAGTTGACTCATACTCTCAGCAGTCACAAAATATAGAAGATATACTTGAGTTGTCAGTGAATGGTTATGTTTTCAATTTGCTTTGTCACTGGACATTGATGGAGAATTGCAGGAAACAGGGGCAGACTTTCAGCTCTTGTTTCTTTGCAAATTCATGCCTCCAGCTCTCTTCCTGCTGCTGAAGAACAGCTGCTGAAATATGATTTCTTTCTATATTTCAAGGTTTGTCTCATTTGTCTTTCAATGCAAAAGAGATGCAGATAACCTTTAATGACCAAAATGCACACTTATCATAGAAGTACGAATTAAAACAGGAGCTGCGAGTTTCTCGATGCTGACTCAGTTGTCCAGTTTCAATGTCTTTAGATTAAATGTTATTTCAGAATAGATGATGTTGCCTATTCTGTATTTGTTTCCTGGACTTGCCTCACTCCATGGTCAGGTTATCATGGCAGCCATTTTGAATCAATGTTTGTTCTTTAAAAAAAAATGTAGTTCACGAAAGGTATTGGGGTATATCAATCATCAGATGATGGGAGTTAAAATTTGACAATCCATATTTATCAGGATCGTAATACACTCCATTGGATCATGACACATCCCTTAACTAAGTCCAGAATGAATAGAAATGGTTAGCAAAATTAAAGATAGTAGGAACTGCAGATGCTGGAGAATCCGAGACAACAAGGTGCAGGGCTGGATGAACACAGCA